GACAATTGGGCAACCACGGCTATTTCAGACGAGTACTTGTCAAAAAAAGGTTCTCGGCGTATGAGACGAAGACGGTCCGTGTCTTCGCGATGTGTCGTCACAGGAGGTCTTCCGGATCTGGGACGGTCCTGTCCATCACCGGTCTTAGCATGTTTCTCGACTAAACGGCTTACGACAGTGTGATGATACCCCAAATTCCGACCAATGGCATTACAAGACATTCCTGCGATATGCATGCCGATTATTTGCAATCTTGTAGTGTTTGATAATCGCCTTCGTGCCATGGTCACACAATGTCATGGAATAACTGTTGAAAACCGAGCTTATGAAAGCAATTAAAACGTTTGGATATACTGCTTTAAGAGATACTCGAGGGTAGCATGCTGCACGGGCATACCATGCATGGCACGTGGGCTTTCGTCACACATGACTGATTACATCATCTCGAGAAAACATAATTCTTCCCGTAATTATATCTTCCATGACTGTTACAAATATTGGGACCAAACAATAATGAAATACATTAGGGTGCGCTTAACTTTTTTCTTTGTGTATACACGACCGGTCCCCAATATTACAGTGAAATGTTCGCCTGTGCCGTGGCTGTGAGATATTTACTCATAGATCATGAAACGCAAAGGCTAACAAATGTTAACATTTGAAACATTCCTTGCGTGTTGCTTGTCCTAAGAATGATTGTGGAATATTTCTGTAAGACGTAACACCAAACACACCCTATAGTTTGCTCGTGCATCACGTAGTAGCGCCTCACTGTCTCCGTAGGGTTACATTTATGTCATTGGATTTTCTAGTTCATCAATCACCTCTTTCACTGGTGTGTCGCATGGCAGTATTCTGTGTGAATGTCCGGTAGGGCAGGATGTGCTTACTCTTTTCGCGAAACCATTGGTGTCATCACTGATTTTCAGTGGCCCATTCATATATTTTTTACAGCTATTTTGTCCATTCCGCCAACTGGAATCTATTTCGGCGGATAATATAGACTGGTTATTTTATTGCATTGACATTATACTTATTTTCGACAGTTTCGACAAGGAAGGTCGATTGATATCTGTGGACCATTATTTTTGTCAATCTTAATGATTCTGGGGGCTGTGGGGTATTCTAGTGGTTAAAGCGATCGCTCGTCACGCCGACGACCCGCGTTCGATGTACAATGTTTGAAGCCCATTTCTGGTGTCCCCCGCCGTGACATTGCTGAAATATTGCTAAACTCACTCACTCACTCACTTATTTATTGATTCTGTTTATCATACAGTTGTGATTTACTTTATTTCATTCATTCGTGTATCAACAGGCGATGCAGATTCTGCATGGAGCGTCTACGGGCGATTGGCAGCTGGAAACTGGCAGAAATCAGCGTGCAGTGGCCAATTAGCAGACTATGGAACAAGTGCCAACAAACCGAAACCCACTCCGCATTGTGCAAAGAAGGGTGGGTCACGGGACAGTACTATCGGCACAACACAGACAGTTTGTTGTCCCTTTTGCAAGGCGTGTTGGTCGACTTTTGTCTTTCAGGACGACAACGCCTGGGATCACCGTGCATGAATCGCCAAAGCTCACCTCCAGCAGCACAACATCCATAGAATACCATGGCCAGCAACGAGCCCAGACCTAACGCCTATTGAACACGTCTAGGACATGATAGGGAGACGTGTGCGTCAACATCATAGGTCGCCGACCACGTTGCCTGAACTTGGCCATGCGTTGCCGAAGGATTCGTTGTAGAAGGATGCGATGGACTCCCTCAAATCGACAATGGGCGAGTCTTACGCACTACTGATCCCAAAACGTCAACTTTGAAATTTTCCAAATTAACCTATCGTCCTTCAAGATCGTTAGCGGTCATAACATCGGTAGTCATCCTTCACTTTTGTCACTTCGTTTTAAGTTTCCTTAAGGTTAAATATTAAAAAGAAATAAAACTAGCGAGGACATTTTTTAAGGAGTTTCATATTTTGAACCTTACTCAGCTAAAGAGTAACACACATTATTATTCAAATATGCATGGTTAGTAAAAAGGTCTTTGTTGAAATTGAAGGGCGCATATTAATATTTATTTATTTCACAACATGTCTTTAACACGGACTAAAGGACAAGATTCACCACTGGTGACACACTTCATATATATAGGTGATGTCTCGATGTATGTTACGCCTTATATTATGCCTCATATAGTCTCCAGTATTCACCGTCACAAACTTTATATGCGCTGTGTCGAAGTGTGCTGTGTATGATGTCCTGTTCTGTTCTGTCATATATTTCTCATGTGATCTGTCGATGATTGCTTAAATGTTGAATGTCGACAGTTTTGGCACCATGTGCTTCCTTCTATGCCAGTCAATAATGTTTAAGTTGTTTTAATGGCATTGCATAGAAATCCTTTATATTTATAAAAAAAACACATAAAAAAACACTTCTCATGCCCGATAGCAACGCAAATATCACCGTCTTTTCTTTTTTCGATTGACATTATCTGAACCATAAGTAATAATTATCGCATAAATATAAGTACACGAACCTTTAGCCGACAAATGTACTATAACGCAAACCGGTCAAGTCCAGTAAACCTACAAACGCAGAACGGGGGCAGAATTATAACCTTAACGAGTTCAGAAACTATAAACTCGCAGCCTAAATAGTAGGGAAACATAAATCTGACCGTGACGTTAGTCCCGAATTCTGCCTGATTTAGTTGACACGTTAAACGTCAACACATCTGCAAACTGTAACCTTTTTTAACAGACGATTTGTCTGATGTTGTGCTTAAATCTCTACTTTGACAACTTGGAAAGAAAACTGTCCCCTTTATTACACCACTGTGCAAAGCGGGAATCTCCAACTTGTCAGTTCTTTATGCGATACTGACACCGTCTCCTAGATCAAATATAGACTAAATTGTGGAAGACGACATTTTGGATTATTTTGAAGGTCGTGAGAAGAGATTTGATAAATATTCATAATATGAATGGTCGTTGTGGCAGTGACGCTGGTATTGGGGACTATACATTCATTATTAGCACAAGGGCAAGCGTAAATGAAGATATTATTTCTGCCCTTCACACGTTTGACCTCTGTGAAGCATTCAACATACGAGTCACAAAATTTTCCTTTGGCAATATCTTTACGTACGCTTCATTCAGGCACCGATGATTATGATATTAATTGTGCAAGTATATTTAGATTTATATGGAGAACTGAGCAAGAAGACAAAAATCTTAATAATTTATCTTCAGTTTTTATTATTTGTTGAAAAAGCAGTTGATGTTGTTATAAAAAATATAGACTTTATTTGAGAGGCACTCTCATACGCTGGTGACAAAATGAAAAAAGGAAGTTCACATTGATAAGAAAACCCGACAATGGTTTGATTGGGAATGTCAGTTCCCGAAAAAGAGAGATGTACATGCCTCAACAAACTCAGAAAAGATAAATATTTGCGGCCGTTAATGGAATATACAAGAATTGGAAATCTTTACAAACCATTTCCAGGGGAAAGGTGGAAGATGTTATGCAATTTTTGTAGATTTTAAAAGGTGTTTGATTCTGTAAACAGAAATATAACGTTCTCATTGTTTCTTTCAAATGGTATAATAAAAAGGTTTATTATTATGTAATATTTATCAAAATATAAAGTCATGTGTTAAAAACCGTGGAATATATTCTGATGCATTTACATGTAACATTTGTGTACACCAAGGTTGTATTCTTAGCCTCTTCCTGTTCTGTTTTTTATCAATGAACTTGCTGCACAAACTAAGGATATTATACAGCTGCATCCAGATATTGTTAAGATAGTTGCTTTTTGCTGATGTTCAAGTTGTGTTCAAGTTGTACTGTTCTTATTGTAAACTCCAAGTAAACACTGAAAAACGAAAGTGTCAGTAGAAAGGGAAATGAACTCAAGCAGGGGAAATGGTTCTTCAACACACAGCCGTTACACATTGTCACTTCTGGGGGTAACATTTCACAGGCAGATTATCGTGGAATCGCCAAACCAGTAATGCAGCAATGCGGGCCAATAATATAGTGATGGGAATCTTCCATAGTTTTACAATTTTCACTGATCTTTCATAACAAACCTTAAAAAATATTTGATGCAAAAATTACTCCTATTACTTTTAAATGGAGCAGAGGTCTAGGGTTATGCTGAATACAGATCTATAAAAACGAAAAATATGTACATCGAGTGTTAAGTTTTATGGTGAATATGGACCTGTAACACTTTACCTATTTCAATATGTTAGAATTCTTAAGTATTGAGTCAAGATTTATTAAATGCCTGTTGATAGATTACCATGAAAATGCTATAAAATAATGTTATTTATGAAAAACATGGAATTCGCATTTGGGTATATGATGTAAAGTCGTCAAGAAATGAATGCATGTTTGGCATAACCAATGTGAGCCTTACAAACCAGATTCGATTTCAGTATCAAAACGTCAAATACTTTAGGATATCTACTTTAAGAAATGGTCATCGTATGTTTTAAGTTCAGAAAAATGCAATTATTACAAGCTTTTTAAGACACATATGTACCTAGAATACTATTTGTTTGATATTGAATATAAAAGATGTAGCATAACTTTAGCACAATTTAAATGCAGCTGTCAAAGACTTAGGATCGAAGGCAGAGACAGAAACATAGCAAGAGAATTGCGAATTTGTGAGCAGTGTGATTTAAATGTGTTTGAAGATGAGTTTCATTTTCTGTTTGTCTGTCCAACTTGCCTTTTTATGTACAAACATAGATTCCTGAGGACTTTGACCTGGAATCTTAATGGGCGTTTCTTTATTTATGTGAAATGAACATGTGGCATAAATGTGACATAAATGTGACATAAATGTGACATGAGCTAATTTACAAGGAAATGTCGCTTTTAGCAACAATTACCATTTCATATATCCTGGGAATGACAATGCTACATTCTGTATCACGTGATGCTCCCCTGTGGTGATAAAAGCCAAACAGCCTCGAATTTTCGTTCGTACGTCAGGGCGAGTTTGACAGAGGACTTGGCGCATAACAACCCGCAACGATTCCCCTCCAAAATGATCCTGCAAGCAGCAATACTCCTCGCTAGTCTGTCTGTGACTGCCGGTCAAGGAGGTAGCCTCTGTTGTCCACTACCGCAATTCCATGCATTTCAACATGTCACCACAGTCAACTCCACGTCCTCTATGCGTGTAAGTACAACGCCGGTCATCCTTGGTTCTCAAATGTAACCACTCTCCCTTTTCCGTTTCCTTCTGTGAAATGCTTTCGGTTTATTCCGGAATGCCTTGGCTGTAATAAAATAGTCAGAATTATGTCGTCTGTACAGATCGAAAAGAATATGACAGCATAATAGATAAAACGTTCATGTCATCATTGTTCTTCATTCGACTAAATGTGTATCAATGACTCATAGGTCTGGCGTAGCATATAACGTTACAAACTTGTTATATTATTTGTTAAATTAAAGCAGGTTCCTCAATCACTTTTATTTTATTTTATCCTCTTTATTAGAGGCTTTCGTTATCACTCATGTCATTTCGGGACATGCCAAACGGCGATTCGAGCCTTCTATAGGTCAATTTATCAATTATCTATCAACCTTGGTTGACAAATGTAACCATTCTCTAATTTTCCGTAAACTTCAAGGGAATGCTTCTTCGCACTTCAAAACATTTTGGAAATAAAAAAGATAATGTCTTCTTGTATCAACACATCACACACATTATTATCCTTTGTCTTATTGAGGTAGTCAATACATGGACAAATTGAATGTAGTATCTTAGATTAGAGTTGTTTGTATTTATTTTCAAGTTGCATTCCCCCGAGTATTTTCCATTTTTACTCATTATCATTATGTAATGAATGTATAGGATACATAAAATCATGCGAATATTTCGAATGGGCACGAGTGGTATTTATATTTAATCCTTGAACTTCAAGAGGTATATTAACATGATGCCGCTAAAGCTAGTAAACATTCAAGAAACTCCTTGTTTGCGTATACAAACAGAATAATTTGAAAGAATGATTTTGAATCATAAATATAATCTTACCCTCTCGTCTTTTGATATCAAATGTATCAAAACACGTAGATAAAGTTTAAAACACCTACGCAAGCCTCGGATGGTAACACTTTTATTGACGGGTGCTAATATGTTTGGTATCAAAAGACAAGAGTGTGAGATTGTCTATATATTTCAATTCCAGGATATAACATAACCTGGACCCCTTTTACCAAAGCTTCGTTTTGAGCTCAATCGGTTATGCAGGGCGCTACAAGCGGTCGCTCAATATAATTCCTCTCCTGAGCTAGAGAAAACCTGTGCCAGGTTAGAAATAGACGAGTAAGAGGTGATGATGCAACTTCAGAAACAAGGCAAGGGTAGCGAATGAACCCATGACACTTATATTAATCATACTAATAATATCACTTATAATACATAATATTTGTAGTTTGAATCCACATTTCAAATAATATATACTTACTTTTGCGGAACTATTTTTCTTGTTTTTACACTCTTCTGACAGATTTCATATTTTTGTCGTCACGAGGGCTCGAACCCCGCATCAAATGATTTGTATGATAGGCGGCCTCGGCAACAGTGCCACAGATGGAATGGCATGACATTATTTGTAAAATAATCAAACATTCCTAAGATCTTTAAACACTAAGAAGATTATACATAGAATACGGTTATATACGGTTGTGTTTCATTTTATTACCCATAAATGTGTTCAAGTTCAAAACATTTAACAACCCTTTGATAAGAAAAACTAAAAAATACAGGAGAAGCATTACATATATCCTTGTTCGGGTTTCTATATTTCATATAATCAACCGGAATATGTTTTCAAAATGTGCATGCAAGTAATTGATAAAATATTTGGAACCCCGCGGAATTCTAAATTGCATTGTATCAAGCTATTCAGATTAATTTGAGACGGAGTATGGCGCTTGTGCATCAGCTAGCAGTGGAGAAAAGGGCGGCTCACACACTACAAATACAGACAACAAAGAGTTCAGATTTATTTTTCAAATGTTTTCGGCTGAAGAATATCTTTTCAAAGTCCATTGTGGATAAGTAGGTACGTGTTTGTGTTTGTATACGTGAGACCTCGGGTATTCATATTCACGGAAGGGAAGAGTGGTGGGGTGGCTTGGCGGTAAACGTGTATGCACGTCACGTCGAAGGATCAGGTTCGACCCCCATATTTGAACAATGAAAACACAGCAGTTTGTAACCGCGTGATGCTTGCACGTCTCAGGAATGTGATGTCATGTATAGCTCTTTGATGGTCAGCCATGTCAAACGATACGTCATCCTCAACGTCAACCCTTACAAAATGTGCACCTGAGAGAGTGATCACTCAAGAAGTTTTACTCTAAGTAAATAAAACACGGTACATTTCAGTCTTGTGTCTTGTTCGAGTGACCTACGAATAATATTGAGGGTCATTCGTAAAGCCAATTTCACTAAAATGCCCTTTTCTGCCGATATGTGTTAGTCTCGTGGGTGATGTGGTTATATGAGTTGAATACTTATGTATGGATTATTGATGACAATTCTATCACAGTGACCTATTTTCGAGGAGTAGCAAATGCAAAATGTTCAAAAATAAATTGAATTCCATCAACTGGAGAGCGTATGTCGTTTAAAAAAATTATCAGGTTTTGCAGTTGTTGCCGAAAAATATATTTAACCTTAATACAAAATCCTAACACCGTAACTCTGAGTGGTATTACTGTATATTTTCAGAGTCTGCAATCGTTCATCTACGACGGTGTCAACCAAAGATACGTCATCAGCGGTGACCTCAACTTCGACTACATCGGTACCACCAAAGTAATCTACGACTACAATAAGGTAAGCGGGACCGCTAGAGTGCTTTACGTCCGTTTTAAGTAACTTTTTCTCATCTCCAGTCCCAGAAGAATGTTCGAATTAATAATTCTTCTATTTGAAAAATAATAGAACTTGTCATTTATTCATCCCCTTAATCTCATTCCCCCATGACGATAACCAAAGTACGATAACCAGTCCCTAAAGCTACCGCTGTGAAGCCTTCGAAATAGCACAAAATGACATAAGTTCATTATTTAAGAACTCAAAACTCATGAAACTTATCCCATGTATTAGAATTAAACATTAATCAGTTCATGTTTGGACTTACTACAACGCCAGATTTCAGACTACTATGTTCATACATGCGTCTTAGTATTGGGGTGACAATAATAATGGGTTTAATAAAGAAAGGTTTCGAAATAAGACACAAAGACATGTTTCAATACGTGTTTTTTTTCTAACATTTGAGAAAGCCTTTGACCTGAGTGTCTTTTGTATGTGCAGATCGAGACATAAAATGTGTGGTTAAAAAAGTATATTTGTATGGTTTACTCATAAACATGTCTGCCAACTTTGATACAAGTATTTCCAAGTTTATAGCAGTCTAAAACTTCAAGTTGGGCCCTTGTCTACTATATCCTTTGTATTTGTGTAAAAATTTCGTAACAAATATCACTGCATTTTGTTTACAGAGAACTGGTTACCGTATAAATACAGAGACACGTGTTTGTACAACATTCCCCCTTGGGGGAAATTTCAAAGAGCAGGAAAATGTTTGCGTTCCAAGTAAGTCATTTCAAAATACATGAACAAATATTTGAATCTTCTATCTATCGGTGGGAATTCGGACAGGGTAGGTCCCCGGTATCCTTTGCACGTCTCAAGAGTCGACTGAAGACGGTTGGAGGACGTTACGTATGGACATACTGATTGAGTAATCAACTACTGCTGTGCCTGGTCCGCATTCGATCCATCTTCCCGAGGCAAGGGAGTTAACTGACTATAAAAGTCCAGTTTCCACCCTTGCCGAACTAGGCTGGTATTATGGAGTTAGATTTTGGCTGGACTAACGAGCCTATGTATAGTCCAGTCAAAATCGCGCACCGAAATCGAAATCCGGTTCGTAAAGTGTCATGCAGATTTCGGTCGACTGCAGGATTTGCAAAACATGTGCACCGCTAACTCGTTGTCAACAGATATTTTCTATATCTTTTTCATGTTTTTAATCAAGGTGATCACGTGATTTGATGCACTTCGCGATGTAAGACTCGTTTGATCACAATATAGATCTTGATTATCGATCAGATCGTCTTGACTGGGCGCCACCGTTTTGTTTGAAGCAAATGCAAGTGATACGAGAGGTTGAATCTGATTGGTCAATAGGAGAGGCATAGAAAGGACATTACTCGTAATAGCCACTGGTGGCGCTACGATCGAGCCCAGGAATTCCAACCTAGTTCGACAAGGGTGGAAACTGGACTTTTAAAGTCAGTTAACTCTCTTGCCTCGGGAAGATGCATTCGATCACCTACAGGCCAATGTTATATTGCTGAAACATTGCTGACCAATTTGTGAACCCTCAGTAAAATACTGTTACTTGATCTGTCGGATCCTGAATATCTGCATATCTGGAAAATACCACACGGACCCGCTAGGTTCGAGATAATAGGGTTCGATTTTAAAGTGTCGCGAATATTAAATAACGCTGATATGCATATACATATAAAGTGAAAGCAAGCCCGTCCGGATATAAGGAATATTACTTGCAGAAATGACAAAATCGCAAAGTGCGCTTTTCAAGAAATACACGTGTTGCTATCGACAACCATCGTCTTTGAGTTTTCATCACGTGTTTACAATCCGGGTCAGTTGACTGCAAGTCGTTATATTGAGCAATGAGTGCATCGCGAACTTGTTGGACACAATTTTGCGCTAAACGCTCACCCTGTCTTCTGTATACACGAGGCCTACCATCAATTCTGTGCAGACAAAATCTGCTTTCGACTGCTTTTTTAGAAATGCTACTCCAAATATTATGGTCTATGGAGAACTAGATAGAATATCTTTTTTCGATTTATGCAACTAAACGGGTCGTTAACTTTTGACACAAACTTTGTAAACCCGGACCTGCACCGAAACTATTGCAAATTATCTGTAAGTTTGCTCATTTACATTTTTTATCTAATAATGAACAAAATGCCTGGATAAGAAATGTGAGGCAAATACTTAATAAGTGTGGTCTGTCCTCTGTATTTTATGACCAACAAAGCGTTTCCAGCCAGTGGCTAACTGCGCAGACAAGATCTGTTTTATAAAAATTGGAGATCTGACGTCGAGAGAAGTTCAAAAGGGTATTATTTTATATATGTAAAAGATATCCCGTCATTTGAAAACTTTCTTCTCCTATCTAAACATTTTTTTTATCCTATTCTAAAACATAGAACCTGTAACCATAATCTACCTGTCGATGTTGGCCGTTGGTTTGGAGAATTAGAGAATTAGATAGAGAATTTAGGACATGTAAACTGTGTATGTCGCCAGCTGTTGCCGATGAATTCCACTACCTGTTTAAATGTGAAGCGTTCCGTGAATCTAGATCTAAACTTATCTCGAATATATATGCGCAGTTTCCGAATATAATAAAATACGAAAAAATGTTGAGTCCCAGAAATGTAAAAGAAATCAAGAACCTTGCAAAATTCATATGTATAATAGATAAGTACCCTTGAGTGTAACTGTGTATATGTGTGTTTGTTTATGTAAGTGTTTCTGTTTAAATGTTCGTACAAATGTTCAGGCAAAATGTTTATCGCCAAATATTTGTACAGTATAACCGATATGTTGTTTAATATGAATTATTATCATGTTAAGAAACCTTTTTTCTCCTGTACCACCAGGGGTTGTTCTATTTTGAGAAATAAATGTTCATGATGATGATGATGATGATGATGATCAGAAAACATCACTCGACTCCACTCACGCACTTGCAAACGGCGAACTCGGCGGGCCCATATCAACCGGTTAGGTCGGTGTTGATGCGTCAGGCCGTGGTATGGTCAACGAGTTCAAATACCGTATGTACTTAATCGTTGGTCAGTCGACTGACCCGGTGTCCCATTGCGATCGCTGCCGTTGACGTTGCTGTGGTGAACCGGTTTCTTAAATGCGTTGCCCGGATGTGACGGTCTTCAGCGGGCGTAGTCACGGGTTGTCGACGCTTCGCGGCCTGTCCGATGTCCGACCAGTCTGTCGTAAACGTTGCATTAAATTGCTGACGGTAACACGGAAACAGCTGAGTCTTGATGTGCTTGATAAACGGGGCCTAATTTCGTATGCATTTCGATACTGTGTTCGTAACGAATCGCGTGAGCCGTGTTATACATACAGTTTGCACGTGCATTCACGAAACCTCATTTCTGGTAACTTCACGTTTATTTCACCGAATACGTTTGGTTTGGCAGTAGGGATATGTTTAAGTAACATATCATGAAACATTTATATTTTCAAAAAAAATATGTAACATTTTCGAGCGTAAAGTTTCTTTTGGACATTAGTCTTAATACTATGTTTAATCTCAGGTGGCGCAGTTTCGTCGGGCCCTCTCTATTATGGCTACGGCCAGGGCAGGCTAGCTTCATTGTCGTACAGCTACAACACCACCACCGCCGATGGGAGGCATCAGGCTGTCGTGGCTACCGTCACAAAGGAAGGCTGTTTTCCAATCATCAGCACCACGACCACAACCGGCGGCCAAGGTTAGTATGAGTGAGTGAGTGAGTTGGGTTTAACGCCGCTTTTAACAGTATTCCAGTTACATCACGGCGTGTCAGCTTAATGTGGGAGGAAAGCCCGAAGTGATGCAGGTCTTAGACGTTTACCACTTCGGTGAAACCCACGAGCACGGGTATGGTACTGACAAACTTAGAAACATAATCGGGTCGAACCGGAATTCGAACCCACAATCATAGGTTTCTGGCGTGCCCAAAGGACGCAACTCTGCACAGCGAATTAGACGACTGGGCCACCCTTGCTCCCTAAGTATGAGTGAGTTGAGTTGAGGTGAGTGAGTGACCGCGCTATTGGCTGAGTGAGGGAGTGAGCGAGTGATGGAGCGAACATTAACGCCGATTTAAACAGTGCATAATTCAATTCAGTTTATTCATTTATAGCTGTAAGGCCACAGGCCCCAAGTAAGGAACACATGACAATGTGGAAGCGGTTAAAAATATCACAAGGATACATTTCTTAATAACATGGAATGCTATATAAATAGAGATAGATTTCGTATAGCCGTTTTTAAAATATCTATGTTATTCGCATTTGCTAGAAACATCTACAGTAGATCTCCATGTTTGAAAGTGCATGTCTGCCTTATTTCCGATATGAACATGGCATGATTCTCTAAGAAACATTGGTTGTCCCAGATGTAACCATACCCACATTTATACAGTAAACATTTAACATTGTATGCCCAATTTTGATCTCCAATCTTTTCATACAATAACATCATATTATAACATTTTTGGGGTAATCTACTTTCTGGCATTTTTAGTAATTTTAACCAATATCTTATGATTTTTACATAGTGATATATGTACAAGGACATACGAGCACATTCACCATAAACCATTACGCTAGAAGTACTATGTTCAATGCCAAGAAATGTTTTACATGCGCGGATTCAATTTCTTTAGCCTCTGCCAAACCCCATATTTCCGAACCATAGGAAAGAAAAGAAGCTATTTTTGTGAAAAAATATTGGAAGAAAGATTTATAAGCACAGTCGCTAAAATGTTCACACTTTTGTACAATTCCAAATAACATCTTTTCAGCTTGGATTGCTGCATTACGTATTTGTCGGTTCCATGATAATTTACTTGAAAGATATTCATATGAGGTTTCAGTTTAAAGTAATTGTCCCCGAAAGTACCATTTCTATTTCCCTGGCTAAATACAACAATATTTGTCTCATCCGAGTGAATATTAAGTTTCCGCGTATCGCAGTACAATTCTAGCTGATTTATCAAAGTATGTAAACTTTTACTGTACTTGAGAACATGATTATATTATCTGCAAATAGTAACATAAATATTCAGGATGTAATTGTATACCATCATCATAATTTCTTTAGATTTGGGCTGCAAGCTCATTAATAAAAATACAGAACAAAAAAAGGTTTAATACACATCCTTGGCGTACACCAGTATGGCATAATAAAAGAATCTGAATACATGCCGTTTAATTTAACACATGATTTATGTTCCTTATAAATACCACATAGCAATTTACCCATTTTATCACTGACACTATATGAATTAAATAGATACCATACCTTGTCTCTACAGACTGAATCGAATGCTTTAGAAAAGTCTACAAATATAACGTAGACTTTTCCACGTTTACGTTGAATTAACCTATCTATCAGAGCCTGGATGAGAAACATGTTATCAGTGGTAGAGTAACCTTGCCGAAAACCTGCATGCTCTTCCTCGATCTTATCAAGTGTTTCCGACCACAATACCAAGCGTTTATTAATAATATTAAAGACATTGTGATAGTCAGGTGCTGTGATTCGTGGCGTGACTCAATATCAAAATGTTCACACAAGTCAAATAAATCTATGGTGCTAATCGATACCGTTACACTTGCCCCAGCATTGTCAACAAATGTAAAGTCACCTTTCCCGAAATCACTTCCACAGCGGCCATTCATAATGTGTACATTTGAAAGAGCATACAAAATAATGAAACATTTCCCAAAATTATCAAGAACAGTATCGTTTGAATATCTACACAGATTAAACCTTTCTAAGAGAAAGTCCTAGTTTGAAGTATCCTGGCCATGGATCGTGTATCATCCTCAACATAATCTGGCTCTTTGCTAGTTCTTGCATTAAATGCACGAAACGTCACCAACATCACCTAGGATGTCCAGCAGTTCATCCTGAAATAGCAATATACCGTTCTTAGATCCAACACTACTGTCGTACCATGTAGATCCTTCTGGGTGAATATACACACAGCTGAAAAAACGTCTTTTGAAGTCCAAACAGTGACCTGTCAAGTAATAGATATACACCACTTTCTGAGATTCTGTTTTACGAGAAATTACACAAATTCTACCTAAATGTCTTCCGAAATTTGCCATCTTATCTGCTGTTTTAATAAAGTTAGTATATTCGCAGAACGGTTCATCAAAATTCAGTTTCTGGGGCCATATTTCTGTCAAACCATTTATGTCAAATATTTTCAAAATGATAGACACTCACAGTCTGAAAACGTTGACAGCGATCCTGATATATTCCAAAACACGAGTTTCACAGATATTAAAATTTGTCACCCGTGGGATTTCCATGCCAGAACTGGTCACTGTAGTGAGAGGCCAATAAAATTGATCGGGTGTCTTTAACCTCCGATGGTGTGCGATCAACAACTGGTTTGCCTTGCCCAGAGTTGCAGGCCGCTGTGATACAGCTCTAATATTGCTGACTGCGGTGTGAAACAACAAGGCGAATGTACTGACTGTGGAAAATATATACTGTCTCTCCAGGTGGAAACGCTCTTAAAGTTCTCGGGTACGCCTACATTTATCCGGGAAACCCGGACGTCACTGTCTTCGACATCCCGCCCTACTGCACTGTGTGATACCGTACGTACATCAAAAATAACGTGTGATTAGTTTTCAATTACTAACATTTCATTCAATAAAATAATAATATTTAACTCAATGACACAACACTGAACATCATATACTAACGTTTCACTCAATGGCACAATCAACATTAAATACTGTCTTTCGACTCAGTGACACAGCAGTGAACACTGTCTGGTAATATTTCTATGTTTGATTTTACTTTGTTTCATCAGTATATAACATTATGTTTCTACAGCATGTAATGACACACATTTATGCGGAAACTAATTATTTTTGTTAACAGATGCCGACTTACGTCCGGGGTCATAAGACATTACTGTATTCATTTTTTATTATTATCACAAATGTGATACAATGGGCATTTCTAACTTGAAAACACATTTGGTAAACATACAGTTCCTCCGCATCTCCACAAACGTGTATATTTTTTCTGTTTCAGGACATTACTGAAGAGATACAGTGGGATCTGTCTCTCTAAAGTCACTGTCAGAATGTATCATCTTGCAAGATGTACATGATATGAATAATAAAACTTCTTTAAAAAAAAATGTCCTTCACTTTATTTATGTCAATCGACAGTTCTACATATTCGATAAACCTTGGTATATGCCAGACTCGGGATTAGATTTAGAAGACATGTACTTTGCCTAATTCATGGCGTATGTTGCTGATTGGCCAATCGCTTATCGGTTGTACAACAAACTAATTCTTCCAGGTTTGGGTCCAATGCAAAGATTGACAACTCCTGTCACATATTAATCCATGCCCAACTTGCTTTCAGGCAGGTTACGGAACAATATTTTTGTGTGTGACTGAGACACTGTTGTCGCTGTTACCCTTATAGGAAATGTTCATATCTTTTTCTAACTTTCGGAAAACGTGTGTCATTCACACGCCCAGGGAAGTAAAGTGAAATGAAATATCTAAACATCATGAAAATAGCAACTGCGTAATTTGACCGGACTTCGGTCTACCTGAACGTTAAACGGTGTTAGTGATTGTATTGGCGAACGGGTTAGCGAGCGTGTTGGCGAATGTTATGATACACATGACATAATACATGTAGTTGATATATGTAAGCTGCAAGAAAATTGTTTATATCAAGAAAACAGCGTTATCACTAACCCTTCCATGGGACACATTAGAATTTTGTTTGTTCGTTAAACAAAAGATTTACAAAGCCTCTAAAAGAGATAGCCACTTACGCCGCTTCACGTACGTCAGTTGTTTCTTGGACTTTCTGCGTCCACATTTCACGCAGTATGTACTAAGTTGAAAAGCACGGAGCAAGGGACATAACTCTGTGAAACAATACTTGAAAAGTATCTCTTAGATAAGCTTGCAAAGTTTCATTCATGTAACATCAGTATTTTCTGAAAAAAAGTTGTCCCCATTGCAGACACTATGCACTCAGTTGAAAAGCACGGAGCAAGGGCAATTACTCTGCAAAACAATAATGTACGACACCAATCTTCGAACTCAGTCTTGACACGTATCTCTTATATATATATTGTTTATTCACAAAAAGTGTTAGGCCGTAGGCCTATTACACAGAACTATTTACAGAGAGAGGGAGAAAAAAGAATTACCACTATTTTACATGTATATCCATATCCATACGCATTCATACACATACACATGCATATACAAATATATATTTAGACTGTATGCAATGAACGAAGTCGAAACGCTTTGTAAACGTAGACTGCTAGATTTCGTATGATTTTAAAGTTAGTGAATGACATAAGAGCATTAAATTTATTTTTAGAAGGGGTTGTAAAATATTTAGGAGGAATATATTCAGCTCTTAAATCACTATAAGCATTGCATATAAGCACAAAATGATATTCGTCCTCAATAAAATTCTGGGATTTAGTGCTAGATGAAACCGCTGCATGCCAATCTTGCTCAGATGAGGCTTTTAAACGGTTTACAAATTCCGAAATAAAACTTCTACTATTATAACTTAATTGCATCTCCCATATGTAGCCAAAACCAAACGAATAGAGAATGTCTTTGATTTTAGAGACCCAGTTGATCTTACAATTATTAACATCAAGTACTAATAATCTATAACATTTCTTAACTAATCTATTTTCAGGCAAATGTAAAATTCTGTACCAATAAGTAACTACACGCTTATAAGCACATATGTACATAGGATACCTTCCGCATTCCCCCTAACCACATGATTTGATGAAGATTGTTTAACCCAAAGAAAGCGTTTACATGCTTGTACCTGGATTTGCTCTAATTCTTTGTAAGTATCTACACCCCAAATCTCGGCACCGTATAAAAGAATTAGAGATATTTTAGAATAAAAAAAATTGAAAAACAAGTCATAAGGAAGAGGTTGAAGCATTGTTAGAGATTTAATGACACCAAATAGGACCTTTTTAGCTTGTAAAGCAGCACTGTTAACATGCAAAGACCAGGAGAGAGTTTTTGAAAGAATAGTACCGAGATATTTATAAGAACTTACACACTGAAGTTTTTGACCCTCGTAATACCACTTTTCATATTTTGATAAAATACCCCCATTTTTAAATACCACTACCTTAGTTTTATCCAAGTTGACTGTTAGATGATAGTTACTACAATATTTCTTATATAAGCATGTAAACCTATTTTCATGTAAGTCAGTAGTTGCTGAGAAAACGTGTCCACAATTTAACACAGTATGCGCTAAGTTGAAAAGCATTGGGGGCGGTCGGGTAGCCTAGTGGTTAAAGCGTTCGCTCGTCACGCCAAAGACCCGGGTTCGATTCCAAAAATGGGTACAATGTGTGAAGCCCATTTCTGGTGTCCCCCGCGGTGATATTGCTGGAATATTGCTAAAAGCGGCGTAAAACCATACTCACTCACTCACTCACTCACTGAAAAGCATGGAGCAAGGGCCATAACTCTGTAAAAAATAAATGTACGACACCAATTTTTCGAACTCATTTCCGATAGAATCTTCACCGGGGAATTCAAAGCTAGTTTATATTATTAACAAGTTAGCCACACGCCTCAAATTATGTTCGGAAAGAAATAAGCGACGGGAATACAACCCAGTGACCTCGATCAATATTTTGTTCTCAGCTCCCTGTGGAGTATACAACCCACCCTGTTCCGGAAATCATCTTCCCACGTCCCCATGCTCGTCGCGATCGCCAGAGACGATCCACATAGTTGCCAAGTATAAATTTTATCACAAATTTACCTCAACATTACCAGCATCGTTCGTGTTTATATTACAGTCTTCCTTATCGTGCTGGAAACACCAATCACATGGATGCAGTGTGGCGTTACAACAATAATAACATGAAAACACTGTTATCACTATTACCTGCCATGGGGCACATTAGAAGTTTGTTTGTTCATATAGAAGAGAATATCAACTATAAATAGAGTGCTGTAAAGGTTTTACAAGAGATAGGCACTTGGGTCTCTTTATGTCATCAGAAAAGTTGATTAACTGTCAAATTAATACACACAAACCGGAAACATAACTCAGACTTGATGACAGTCGTAACTTCAGTTATTTCCAGGAAAACGTGTTCCCATTGCAGACACAATGCACCAAGTAAAATAACATGGACCAAGGACCGTAACTCTGTAAAAATATAATTTATACAGGACCAGTTTTAGAACTCAGTCTTGACAAGTACCTCTCAGATAAGCATGCAAATTTTCACAGAGGTCAAAGTCGTCATGAAGCCGAAACGTGTTTGACTCGAGCTCACGATAATGATGCGGGAAATCCAAACTAATTGCTCAAACTTGAGTCAAATGTGAGGTAGATAATGAAAAGATACATGTAAAAGTCAATCTGTTCATATGCTTTCCCTTGTGAACACTTTTTTGAACTGCATCTACACTTGTCACGAAGATCAACGAATCTGGAGGAAATAAAAGAACTAATTCTCCAATCTGAGCAAATATATCGCTCAAAATAGACAACATTAACACAGCAACGCAGAGCGCCATCGATAAGATTGAAATAGAAGTAGCCAACTTGAAAACAAGAGTAGATGTCGCCGATATCATACTAGAAGAGACATTGTCGCATTGTTGCCCTTCCAAAAACAAGCAAAAAGGTGTCAAAATTAACCAAAACGCGACAATGCAACAACGCGACATTTTGGCCATTTGTCGCATTGTCGCACTTTGAATAATCTTTTTTATTTTACCAAAGCACGACAATGCGACAACGCGACATTTTCCAAGGTCAAAGTATGTGGCGTTGTCGCATTGTCGCTCGATCAAAAATGTGTTAAAAAGGTGTTAAAATGCACGACAACGCGACAATGCGACAACGCGACATTTTGTTCCAATGGTTCTAAAACCAAAGTAGCAATGGCAATGTGGTTTGCTTTGCTCAAAATGAAAAAATATCTTTCCTCGTTGCCTTAGAAAATAGTTATCGTTATTATCTGTGTTGGTTTCCATCAACGAAACGCATTTTGACAACAAGAAACAATCACTTTGCCTTTCTATTTAAATTAATTCCGGTCTCCGACATCTCTTTTCAAATGACACACGGTTGGCCCTGTCGTTTCAGACGGCGCAGTTGGCTGTAGACTATAATCGCGTGTTCGACTCCCAGCACCATACACTTAGGGATTTTTCCCCTCATCAAGCCGAGACGCTCTAAAATAACTGAAATTTTGTTCAAAGCGACGTGAAACCACAGGTCACGTTAGTCACTGGAAATCCTTGGGTGGATGACCGTGTTCGGATCCTTGGACCCTGAGAGTTTCAAGGGCCTCGGTCCGTCGTGAGGCGGAGAGAAAAGACCTGCATTACAGAAACATAAACTTACTGTTTAACGGAATGCCTTAAATAAATCAAGAAGATAGTGAAACAGGTTCAGGGGCAGTTTCTGATTGACATTCTCAGACACTATCAGAAGAATATATGGGTCATGTGAAATTCAAAGATGTCCATCGACACAGAGGTATCAGGAAAAGTCGGTGAAACGCAAGGGCCACCAACTATCATTGCAGCTTTCATGTCGATTAAAGACAGGAATGAGGTGTCCGAGGCCAGGAGGGCTGTGTATGGCTCAAAGATGAATGTTCAAACAGACCTCCTGATATCTATGAAAAAGATCAGCTCAGTCCTCAACAAAAAAGCGTATGAATTAAGAAAGGAAAAGGGCCTGTATACCAGGGTATGAATAAAAGGTGAAAAAGAATGACGAGCCAAATACCTCCTGGACACTAGTGAATGTGCCTATCCCTGACACCTTTGCCCAGTACTAATATGGCGAATGAAAATGAGAAACATGGTTATAAAACATTTATGCATATTTGCCCCATTATTTTTGTTTGCATATTAGACCCACATATTTGTATAATACTAAAAGGCCTACCAAGTCTTGTTCATATTATAGGACATGACCTTGAAAGAGTTATGCATAATAGGCCTGCCATGTTTTGTTTACACTGTAGAGCATGTCCTTGAAAGATATATGCATAAAAGGCCCACCATGTCCTGTTTATATTTTAGAACACGACCGTGAAACATATATGCATAATAGGCCTACCATGTTTTGTTTACA